ATATGTATCCTTAAGATACCACTATGAACCTTTTAGAGTGGAATAAGGTACAAAGATATCCCTATTGACCCAGTGACAAGCACTTTTTCTGACAGTTTTCCAAGGCTAGAGTCTGGGTGGTCAAGACCAAGCATTAACCCAATGACAAGCTAAAGGCACATTTTTGCACATTTTCCCTGAGAACAAATCCAGAAGATTGCTGGCTGCATTAGTGATTATGTTCCTTCATTGCAAGCACTGTATGAAGAGAATGGACTGTTTTCTGAGGTAAACCGCAGTTTAGGATTGTTTAATTTGGATTTGTCCATTGCTCTGTATTTAATCTCCAGAGAGAGATGAAGGTGAAGATGTTGGCCGTGTTGGCTCTGGTTCTTTCTTGCTCTCCAGTGCAAGTGTGGGACGGATTCTCAGTAAATGTGAGCTGAAATCCCAACTCGAGGCGGCACTGGGGAGAAATCAGGGAGGAAATGGGCCTGCAACTGTCACGAATGGGCCTGGAAGTGTGACTGGGCCTGGAAACGTGACTGTGCCTGGAAACGTAACTGTGCCTGGAAACGTAACTGTGCCTGGAAATACAACTGCAAATTCGCTCATCGCCCAAAGTAAGTGTTGCAAGGGTAAACGCTGTCAGTTGACAACTAGTAATGATACAAATGTAAGCCAAGAGTGTTTCTGTCTTTCTTTCAGTCGTTTGTTCTGTGGAGCGTGTGTCGAAGTTCGACACCAGCCTGGTCACCACCATCCAAGAAGACCCCAGACCTCCAGTGAGACCCCCTCTCAGACCACAACAACGACCCAATGAAAGACCAGGGGGAAGACCTGGTCGTCCAGGAGGAAGACCTGGTCGTCCCGGCGGAAGGGGAAAGAGATCCCATGTTGCGGCACTCAGGCGGCCAGCTGGATTTTCTGACGACAGTTCCGAGAGTTCCGAGAGTTCCGAGAGTTCCGAGGAGAATGTCACTGCAAGGCCTGGTCTCACCACAAGACTGTTTGGAATCTTCCAGCTGAGCGACCGTGTGGCCTGCGATTCCGGATCCGGCCAGAGTCTGAACATCTGCCGCATGAACTGCAGAGGTAAGTCACGTTACAAAAGTGATTATAAACAGAATAGACTGAACCCAATCTCATGAGAAATTTAACTAATTTATGGGGTGGTGATTTCGAATAAATTCACACAATGAAACAACATACAGAACTACCAAATTTTGCTATAAGTTTGATTGCATCATATAATAATTGCTGTTAATAGTGTTCATCGTCTGTTTGATTATCTTTAATTGATTTTTCCGTACATTTCTGCCATATGTACATTAACTGACAGTCACCACTGATAAGCTACCACTAAATATTGTAGAAACCTAATTTGCTGTAATTAAGTTGAATTAAATTAAATTAAGTTGCTTTGCAACGATTTGTATCGTGAAAAGCGCTATACAAATAAACTTGAATTGAAAATTGAATTGAACAATGACTACTCAGACTACAGTTACTTTTTTATTGATTAGATATCATTCACATAGTCACATGCTGTAAACAGGTCTAATATTTGAGATTTTTATGTTTTATTGACTGTTGTAATTTTAAAAATATTTATTTTAATTTAACATTATTATGATTTAATTAATTATTAGCTTTTCATTAAACTCACAAACCCCCTGCAGTTCCTATTTAAATCAATGTGATAAACAAGTTAGGTCAAAAGTAATCTAAAAGTAATCAAAAAGTAATCAGATTACATTACCTAAAAACTACATTTTTTTTGTCATGCAATTTGGAATCAGTAACGGACTACAATTTGTAAGTAATCTACCCAGCACTGGTTACATATTGCTGTGAGCTTGTATTGATAGATTCCAATAATGCAATTCAACACAATTTTTCAAAATTTCAGTACGTCAAATTTGAGTGATGTCTCATGTGACTGGTTACGAAAGTAACTAAAAACTGAGAAAGGGTAATTATTTTACAAATTGGAAATTTCGTATGAATTCGTACAGTGTGATTGCCACAAAAATGATTTTTTTTTAGGAAAAAAGTAAGCATGAAGCTCCACCATAAACTTAACCGTCAGTGGGGCGTATATAGGCAGATCGTACAAAGACATGATTGGCACTGTACAAATAAGCCACCAATTCACGAAAAAAATTTTTTTTTAAAGAACATCCCATTTACACAATAGCACATCACATAGTTTCATCACAATTTCACAATCATAGTACACGTCAAATTCGAGTGACATCTATTTTTTTTTTCTTCTAAAGCTCTGGCTGATGATGACATCAGGGATGACCTCACGTGCCTGAAGACCCTGCTGAACAGCGCAAGAAATGCGTAAATTGTCATCTTTAGTCCCGCTATAATCACATGATCACCATCTACATTCCCATTGGTAGTCACCACATTCTGTCACTGCTCATTTGCATGACTCCGTTGAGGTCAGATAACATTTGTAGCATTGCCAAAGACCACTGTCATTTAGAATCTGCAAAATAAACACATTGTAATTGTAAATGGCCAAGATTCTTAATTTGTAAAACATTCGAATATTACTAAAAGCAACTAAACAAGTGTATTTTTCTCATAAATAGTAATATTCCTGTTCCTGTTTTCTTACAGCGCTGTTTCAGCCTTCGCTTCTCCACCCAATAAAACGTAAGTCAAACAAATATATTTCTATTTTATTCAATACTTGAAAGCGTATAAGGCTTAAGGAAATAAATTTTTCAAAATGTATAAAATATATTTCGGACAATATACATAAACAATTGCCAAAAATATATGATGAAATAGAAGTAACTAAAACTTATTGGAAATATATTTCTGTACATATATTTACATGAATATTAGCAATATATTTTTAACCACAGCAATAAGCTTTGCAAGATGTAACCCTTCTTTTACAAGATTGTGTTTCTTGTCTTTTAGGCCACTTGTAATTCTCTCTGTGAACGAGTGCCGCAACGTCAATCCTGCGCAGTACTTTGCTGAGTGTCCGTGAAACATTCAGCGTTTCTTCAGGCATGAATATTCTGTCAAATTTCATCCCAACTCATTATTGTATAAAACCCAACAGGAACTCAGTTCTCAGACCCTTGTATTTCACTCTTCCATTTTCTGCCATAATGTACCTGTAAAATGTTCTCAGAATAGCCTCAATTATGCTGCATGTACTATAGCATACCTCAGAATGCAAATAAACAAATATTTTAAAAAAAAATACACTTGTCTAAGTCTGTCTTTACAATAAAAACACCAACAAATCAGTGTTTGCATGAGTGAAATGTATAAGCATGTTCATATATGCCTATCTCCCTGTTGAAAAAACCAGCATATGCTGGTTTGGTATGTTTTGACGCTGGGATGCTGGTTTAAACTGGTCCTTTGCAGGTTTATGCTGGTCCTTTGCTGGTTTAAACTGGTCCTTTGCTGGTTTATGCTGGTCCTTTGCCAGCACATGACCAGCATAAACCAGCAAAGGACCAGCTTAAACCAGCATCCCAGCGTCAAAACATACCTAACCAGCATATGCTGGTTTTTTTCAACAGGGTTATCACAAAACAAGTGTTATACCATCCAAGAAGTCTGGTTTGCATGGTCTATTTAACCTCTGCTGGTAAATATCGTAACACCATCTGTCTCCAAAGAGCATCTTTCTCCACCAATGGCCATTCAAAATAGCCATGCATTCTCATAAAATGATTTTTACAACATCTAAATCACAAATACGTTTTTAAATGATTCATTCATTTTTTAGAGAGCTCAAACCGTTTATTTTTGTGATGCCGCTGTTTTATGTCTCTCTTCGTTTGTGCACCTGCCCTACGTCCCAATGAATCACAATAAAAGATCAACTCTGTTTAACCAAATCCATTGTGCAAAGCCTGTTCCTTCTTTTGCCATGGACATATTATATTACATAAGTATGCTCTATGCATCATTAAACATGCATTAATATATTAAAATGTAGAATATATAAATGTATTATTTATTTAATATACATGAATTAAAAAATATAAATTAAATAAATTATGGGTATATATAATAAAAAGGATGGTGAGCGCATATCCACAAGCATACGATGAATAATCCTTGAAATTGTGCTTAAAAATTATTGTTTGTCCTTTTATCCAATTTCTTATTTGTCCTGTGCCATGTGAAGTTCACATTTACATGTTAAAAACAACAACACACAAAGGTCAAGCATTTTCGAGCACACCAAGTATTTGTGTGCTATTTGAATACACTCAAATGAGCCCTCGCAGTGAAGCTCAGAGATTTGGACCGAGATACTGACCGAAATAGAGAACATTTCCAGCAAAAATTTGTCAGATTGACCATGTAATGCATCTAAAGTAAAAATTAAAGCTCAATCACATATGACAATAAGCTTATCTGTCTTAATCAGAAAAGCTGCATAAAAAAGACGTTTCCTGAGAACAAAACTCATCTGGTGTGACAATGCAGAAGATCATATTTGATTTGAATAGTTTTCATTGCATAATTCACAATTGCTAAATGGTCCTTTAAGCATTGTCAGCCCTTCAGATCCACCCAAACAAAACAGAGTAAAGACTTGAGGCTTTAGAGAGTCACAGCAGTACCATTATACAAGCAGTGGGCTCTAGGTGAAGATGAGTGCGGCATTCAGCTATTTGAATTGGAAATGCTGCTGTTTGTGGGTGTGGGTGAGCGTGTTGCAGAACATCATAATCTAAAGACAAACAGAGCACAAAGACTCAAGCATCAAAACATCAGCTTCACATCATTCCACTCACAGCTGGAAACCACTGGAGAAAAAGAGAGCAAATAAATAAGCAAATACATAATAACAAGGATGACAACCTGAGCTTCCTGGCCAGCATTTGTGTTGTTTTCAGTCTGTTTCAGAGCAATGACATCATAGGAATATGATCTCCTCGTGATGATGGGATGGACCAACAGCGCAGATGGAGGTCAGTCGGACATATATAAGATGGACCACAGCAAAAAAAAAACAACAAGCAGCATCTCAACAGAACCTCTGGTAAGATGCATTACAATTCGGTTCTTCATGATATTTCATGGTTTTTTGTTGTTGTTGCTCAAACTAATCATTAAGTTCACTGCTGGTCATTGTAAAAAATAAAGGAAAACAAACTTTGGATGAAAGCAATTGCTGAATTGAATGTACTTTTTTTGTTTTTATGTAGTAATAATTATTTATCATTTGTTTTTGTGCAATATATATTATTAAGTTAGCATATATATATATGCTGTATATATGTGGCTCAACCTATTTAATACTTAAGTTTTAATCTGAATTTTACATTTTTAATTTAAGTTAAGTTGAAGATGTTTTTTTGTGCATGATCAGAACTAAAATACTACAGATATTTTTTATCTCTCCCAATTCATTAATTCATGAATATACAATCACTGAATATTTGTAATCTGTTATTGGCTCTACTTCAAGATGTAATCAGAGTTCCCTGGATTAACTGAACACATATAATCTGCAGATTTCCAAACAGAGAGAGATGAAGAGTGCAAACCCAGTGAAGATGTTGGCGGCGTTTGCTCTAGTTCTGCTGGTATTCAGTGTGACTGAGGGACGGATTATGAATAAATGTGAGCTGAAGGCCCAGCTGGACGCCGCTCAGTTGCAGCAGATCACCGTCATGGAAGAGACAATAACCGTGAACAGTCTCATCGCCAGACGTGAGATATTGTTCTGCAGTTTATCCCTTCAGAATGCCAAATTGCACTGTTTTATGTCAGATTATGTGACCCTCATCTATGTCTTTCTTCTTTCCTGAGGCAGTTGTCTGCAAGGCCAGCATCTCAGCCTTCAACACCAGCTTTGTCAAAAACACCACGGTCCACAATAAGGAGATGAAGCCAGCACAGGCCCCACCTCAAGTTGCATCCCAAGTTCCACCTCAAGCTCCATCATCTGGAGCTCCACCTCAGGCTTCACCACGCAGAGGTCCACCTCAGGCTCCATCATCTGGAGCTCCACCAAAGGTTCTACAATCTGGAGCTCCACCCAAAGTTCCACCATCTGGTTCTCCACCCAAGCTTCCACCATCTGGAGCTCCATCATCTCGACTGCCACCTCAGGCTCCAGCTGGAGCTCCACCTAAGCACTATGCACAGGCTCCCACTAAAGGACCCCGGGGCTCCGGCCACGAGACGCAGCAACCACGTCCGACCACAGCTGCCAAAGATGTCAGGCACCTGTACGGTATGTTTCAGCTCAGTGATCAGCTGGCCTGTGATTCCGGCATGATCCCATCGCTCAACGTCTGCAACATGACCTGCTCTGGTGAGTGTTTTTAATTACTGCACTGTAAAAAATCAAAGAGCAAGCAATAACGTGAACGTTTAAAAACAAATAAAAGAACTTTGAATTCTTTTTCTCTTTTTTTTGCGAACCAGCTTTGACTGATGACGACATCACTGATGACATCGCCTGCCTGAAGACCCTGACAAACTTTATGTAAGTACAACAAACTCATGCTTACTTTAGTTACCAGTGCTGTTTTAATATATTAAAATTCAAAGGAGATTATGCTTTTTTATGGTAGATTGCATGATAACACAAAAGTGTTAAAAAATATAACTATTACATAACAAAGTAGTATAAATATCTCATTTCTTAACAGGAAAGCGAAACCCAAAGAGATCCTATTTGATGTTAAGAAGATGTAAGTTATTTTTATATATACACATTTACAGTTGTATAGTTTATGGTTTTACAAAATCATAAATGTTAAATATTTAAATATATATTGAATGAAATCTAAATCTAAATCTATATCTATATCTATATACTGTATCTATATATCTATATCTATATATATATATATATGTATATATATATATATGTACATATGTATGTATGTATGTATGTGTGTGTGTAGTTTTTGTTTCTCTACATGTGACACAGTAATTATAATGTGTCCGAGTCAGGTCTGAAAGTGTCTTCTGTGCGTTACAGTGTGGAGATGATGTTGGTGAAGGAGTGTCACTCTGTCGTTCCTCCAAACTACTTTGCTGAATGTGTTTAAAACAGATGGAGCAGACTCACTCAAGATTAGATTCTTCCTGCTGCATTCCTTACGCACATCAGTCTGATGCTTTCCATGGCAACTGTCTTTGATTGAATGGTAATGAGGTCATTATGATGGTGGCGGGAGTTTAAACGAGAGTCTGAATATAGGGAGTTTGTGCATTAAGACACTTTAGTTTATTACTGTAATACTGTGAATGTCTAAATATATATCATTGTATAAACCTAAACATCAGTGTATAGTCCAATATGATTGTGCTGCTGCTGAGTGCTTTTAAATACTGTCACTTTATCATAAAAAATAAAATTAACAAACCACTCTAAGTTTTCTTTCTTTTCTTTGAATCAAAAAGCAACAAGATGCCACATAGTTTTCATATACATGCATATATTCATGATGCATCATGCATCATGCAGGAAAAGAGAATAAGCAAATAATATAAAAATTGTTTTAAAAATTCTGGTGGTAAAGTTTTAGCTTAGCCATCACCAGCTGTTGTCTGAAATCTATTGCAATCTGTATTCAATGCATTTTAGATGCACACTTTCCCCTGCAATTAAAAAAAAACAGTATTACGATTTAAAATATATATATAAGAAAATATGAGCAAATAAAAATGTTATTATTTTAGATCATGCATGCAAACAGCCAAACTATTGATCAAATACTTTAAATAAATTATTATTTTTATTAAGACAGAATTAGCTAAATATTTCAATTGTTCTATGATTTTTTTATTTTTGATAAATATAAATATTTATCTTACTAGACGTTGCTTTGTTGTTGGAGACAGATGAATGAGAGTCGTCAAATATTCCTCAGTCTTCACTGTCTTCTGTATCTGATTCGTCAGACTTATATATGTTCGAATCTCCTCCACCTGCGGCTGCACCTGTGCTTTTGGATCATTCCATAATTAATACTGAGATTAATGTACATTTCTAAAATTGAGCTCTGGTTCCTCCCAAGGTTTCTTCTTCATCCACCCAAACCAACAGTCGTTTTTTAACATTATATTCTGCAAAGCAGCTTTGGATCAACATGTATTGTGAAAAGCATGCAAAAAACACTTAACTTCAATTTTAATCTTTCCCAGTAAAACATCATCGTTCCTACAAAACCTTGCATGTAGAATGAGACTTTGACACACTAATGTAAGCTGCAAATCATCTAGTGTGCTGAGACAATGCAAAAGATTAAGTCTGATTTAAATTGTCCTATTTGGATCATTCATAATTACCAAATGATCCTTAAATTATATAACTTGTCTAAAACCACTACGAGTTTCTAGAAAACTCTATTTAAATGTCAGCGCCTTGCCCAAAAAGCACGTTTGCACAAAAGCATTTAGTTTTTACAAGGAATTGTCATGTTCACCCCGCCAACAGATCCACCCAAACAAAAGACAGCGAGGATTTAAAGCTTTAAAGAGTGGTTTCTGACCTCTATTATCTGTCTGCTGCAGACATGCCACAGAAATTATTTTAAAAATACAAGCTAAAATGGCCTGAATGTCACATCACAGCAAACATGGGCTGATTTTTTTACATTTAAGAATAAGAATTTGCCCAGTGTGGTTTGGGTGTATGAAGAAACCTTGGGAGGAACTAAATTTCAGCAGGGAGAGCCCATCCTCCTCTGACACGAATTAAGCAAAAAAATTAATCTCAGGATTAATTGTAGGATGGACCAAAATCACAGGTGCAGCTGGAGGTGGAGGCGACTCTAACATATATAAGTCTGATGGGTCACAGTACAGAAGACAGTGAAGACTGAGGAACATTTGAAGACTCATTCATCTCAATCTCCACCAAAAGAACATCTGGTAAGACTCAATTATGGTTGTTAATAATATGGTTCTTCCAGTTGTCTGAACGCAAGTTTTGTGTTCAGTATTGTAGAATATGCCTTGCTGGTCATTCTGAACATATATAATTAAGCTTTCCATTGATGTATGGTTTGTTAGGATTGTACAATATCTGGCCGAGATACAACTATTTGAAAATCTGGAATCTGAGGGTGCAAAAAAATCAAAATACTGAGAAAATCGCCTTTAAAGTTGTCCAAATGAAGTCCTTAGCAATGCATATTACTAATCAAAAATTAAGTTTTAATATATTTACAGTAGGAAATTTACAAAATATCTCCATGGAACATGATATTTACTTAATATCCTAATGATTTTTGGCATAAAAGAAAAATCTATAATTTTGACCCATACAATGTATTTTTGGCTGGGTCAAATCTATGTGGTTCAGGGTCACATTTTTGTTCACCAAGGCTACATTTATTTGATTAGAAATACAGTAAAAACTGTAATATTTTGAAATATTGTAACAATTTAAAATAACTTTCTAATGTTAAAAAAATTAAAATGTAATTTATTGCTGTGATCAAAGCTGAATTTTCAGCATAATTTCTCCAGTCTTCAGTGTCACATGATCCTTCAGAAATCAGTCTAATATGCTGATTTGCTGCTCAAGAAACATTTCTTATTATTATCAATGTTGAAAACAGTTCTGCTGCTTCATGTTTTTGTGGAAACCAACATTTTTCAGGATGCACTGATGAATACAAAGTTCAAAAGAAAAGCATTTATTTGAGAAAAATAATTTTGAATGTCACTTGATCAATTTAATGCATATTTTCTAAATAAAATGGTTTTGAAATTAAAATTTGTTTGTTTGCTTGCAAAACTAGAATGAAATGAGACATTTTAATGGACTTTATGCATTATGCCTCTGGAACCAATGTGCTGTATCTGACTAAAAAGAAATCTCCCAAATATCTTTGCTTTCACTCTCTGCAGTTTACTCTCCAGACAGCAGAGATGAAGAGCATAAACCCAGTGAAGATGTTGGCGGCGTTTGCTCTGGTTTTTCTGGTGTCCAGTGTGACTGAGGGACGGATTATCAGTAAATGTGAGCTGAAGGAGAAGCTGGAGGCGGCTCAGATTCAGGTGATTCGGGCCATGGGAGACAAAATGACCCCGAACGATCTCAACGCTAGACGTGAGTAACAGATTCCTTTCACTCACCATTATATTTGTGACCCTGGACCACAAAAGCAGTCTTAAAGGGGTCATATGAGTTGATATGATTCTTTAGGGTCTTAATGAAAAGTCTGTAACATAGTTTGGTTAAAATTTCTCAATGGTAGTGTAAAAAACACCTTTTTTACCCTGTCAAAAACAGCTCTTTTCAGATCAAGCCATTTTTGTAGCATTTTCCTTTAAATGTTAATGAGCTCTGCTGACCCCGCCCCTCTCTTCCGAGCTGCTCTCAGAGAGACTGTTTACTTTAGCCGCATTCATCGTGAAACTGGCTAATTAGCACATTATTAGGAAAGGCGATTTGCAAAGATTCATTACAAAACATTATACTCACTTCTTCTGTAGATGAGGCTGGATCATGAATGATTCGCGCGAACATAGATGCATTTATGTAGATCAGGGGCGCATTCACTTCAGAAACAAACGTAAACCACTGCGTCTTCAGCGGCTCAGATCTCAGGAGTAAATGACGACTGCTATGTTCATTATTACATCCAACAACAGAACACCTCAATCGCTTAGGAGTCATTCTTGTCTACATCTGCTCCAGCAGTGAAACAATGGCGGACTGATGACAGCTCACTCAGAGCAGGTCTGAGGTAAGACACCAGTCCAGTCTCTGCTGAAACGCTACTGTCAATCAAACTATCATGGGAGGGGCCTGTGATCGGCTTGATTTGAGAAAGGGGTAAAGATTTTAGTAGATTAAAAAAAAAAACACTGGGTGGATTTTTATCATTATAGGGTGGTTGTGTACACACACTGCCAACACACATTTCAGATCAAAATCATTAGGATATTAATTAAAGATCATGTTCCATGAAGATATTTTGTAATTTGTCATAAATCTATCAAAACTTAATCAAAACTTAATTTTTGATTAGTAATATGCATCGCTAAGAACTTCATTTGGACAACTTTTCTCAATATTTTGATTTTTTTTTTGCACCCTCAGATTCCAGATAGTTGTATCTCGGCCAGATATTGTCCTATCCTAACGAACCATACATCAATGGAAAGCTTATTTTTTAAATCCGACCCTTATGACTGGTTTTGTGGTCCAGGGTCACATTTATGTCACATAATGTGCAGATGACAGGTCAATCACTCTCACATGCATTTTCCTTTCATTCTGATGCAGTTGTTTGCTTGGCCGGTGCTACAGGCTTCAACACCAGCTTTGTCAAAAACGTCCCCGCCAAACCTAAAGAGCTCTTAAATATCCACTCTATAAAGACAAACGCAAAGCGGCGTCCCGTCTGGCACCTGTACGGTGTGTTTCAGCTCAGTGATCAGCTGGCCTGTGATTCTGGCATGAACCCATCTTTCAATGTCTGCAACACGAGCTGCACTGGTGAGTTTGATGGGAAAACGCCATAATAATCATAACTGTGTTTTCTGAATTTCTGCGCCATATTCCTATTGCTTTCAACATAAGCCAACTGAATAAGGTTTTGCATGTTTTCTCTTTTCTCAAAAGCTTTTAATGACGATGATGTCTCAGATGACATCGCCTGCCTGAATACCATTATTAGCAGCATGTAAGTGCACAGACTACAGACATTGCTTACTGAATGATCTAGATGTATCATAGATTTTTCTTTTGCTACTGAAGCTAACTGAAACGTAAAAATGTTGGTGTCCATTCAGCATTATATAAGTTTACCCAACTATGATGACTTACACTTATGAGAATCCTGAAACCGTAAAAAGGGTTTCATTACATTCATAACATGATGTTTTTTTTTTCTCTTCACAGTAAACCTAGACCCAAAAACATCCTCTCTCTTCCACTTGTAACGTAAGTTGAAAACAATCAATTTATGATTGTTTATAATTTCATATATGCAAAAAGCACCTGCATGCAATTGCAGCAAAAACCAGTTTTGTCACAACAGTGTGCAGGGTTCATATTTTACATTTACATTTATGCATTTTATCAGTTCTTGCTTTCTCTGGGTATCGAACCCATGAACGTTGTGCAATGGTCTACTGTTATAATTTAGCAAATCGTGTAAACTCATTAATACTCATAAAATGTAATAAAATATGAAACTTAAGTTAGGGACAAATAATATTTCACTTTGCATATTTATACTTGTCTACCTCAAATACAACTGCATTAAAGGTTTAAGAAGCAAAATCAGGCCTGAATGTTTAAAGTGTGACTTTCTTTTGTGTGTTACAGATTGAACACCATTTTGGTGAAGGAGTGTCACTCTGTGGTTCCCTCTCTGTATTTTGCTGAGTGTCCGAGTGCAACAACACCAATGAGTGAAACAACACTGTGATTTTATTCTTCTGACCTGCTCTAATACTGTAGATTTGTACTAGTCAACTAGAGAATAATTATGACTACCTAACTAACAATACTAGTAGATCAGCTGCATACAGTCACTTTAAAAACACAACAGTCTGATGTTTCCACAGCAACTGCCTTTGAGTGAATGGTAATGAGGTTGTTATGATGGTGGTGGGATCTGTGCGTGTTTAAACATATAAAGACTTTGAATAGAAGGCGCTTGTGCATTAATAAACTTTATATTATTCCTGTAATATTGCAGATGTTTGGTGGCATTTTACATTTCTGGCTACAATTATAATAAAGCAGTCTCTGTTCCTTGAATCTCACTGTGTTGGTGTTGAGTGCGTTCATAATACTTTACCTTATTATGAATAAATTAACTCTTCCATTAGGACTCCACCTTCATTTGAAATTTTTTTAAGAAACTGCTCAAAACACATATTTTTAGTGAAGTTTTTAATATTTAAAAACTTAATATTGTTATTATGTATAACGTGTTATCTATTGTTTTGCTTGTTTTTTTTTGTAATGTGTTGTAGTGTTTTGAGTGTAACAAAAGTGCATTAAAAATCAAATGTATTCTTATTATTAGTCATTAAAAATCAGTTTACAGTCAGTAGATTATGAACATTAAATAGAAATAGAAAATATATTAATCAAACATTCACGACATTCAGAATGGCCTGTTAAACATGTGACAATGTATTGTTATTAAAATTGTTCTAAAGTATTGTCTTATAAATTCTAGGAAGAGCATAAACTACCTCACAATTATAACTTAAGTATGTATCCACCTTATTTTTCCCGCAAGAGCAGGCGCGGCCATTTGTAATTTTAATGTGCCTGGCTTCCGGTCTCATCCACTTCCAGCTATTTTTAGCTGTACAGAACAGCTCATTTTTGCTGCTTGATATTACAAACTGTTACTTAATGTATTATCTTAATTATGAACACACTGGTTTGTAATGCAAACAGTTTTACTGTTTATTGCACTTCGGTATTCTTATTATTATTTTCCCTACGGCGGCTAATGAGCCAGAAGTCTCGCACATTAGCAGAAAACAGCTTACTTCCGCACTGAAAAATAAACAAGACGGCTTTGCTCATGAAAATTAATTATCTAATGCCACGCTTAACCAGAATGCCTCAGCCTACTATTGGCTAAAATGAATATGTTGCGAATAAAGAAACCCTTTTATAATAAGGGCCTTGTTTATTTGTTCATAAATAGAAAACAAGCTGCTTGAGTTTACTGGAAAATGACCTAAAAAAGTCTTAAATTAAAACTAATATTCATATGTGCAATTTCATAATTGACGCAATACAGGACACGATTCGGTTCAAAAACAGATGGAGCGCAAAGAATTAAAGAGAACAGGGGGTCTCGAGACGCAGTTTGAAGTATGTTTTGTGCTAAAAGTGACTTATATTGTGTTATTTATATGTGCAATTATGTGGCTTACTTTGAAGCTGACAAGGACCACACAATAACACTCCTGAGGATGTCGACTCCGGGCCAGTTCCCTTTCGAACGGTCTCTCCCATTGCGTGAGACGCTAAGGGAAAACTCCTGTTTTACTCTGCACTGAAGTCTGATTTGTTCACATTTGTGTAGCTGCACAAACCAATGGCACTTTAGCCCACCAAAAAGGGCGGAGCCGACCTTTACAGAAGTCGGCTCAGAGCACCATTCATCAGATCATAATCCTTCAGCGACGGGGATCATCTCTTCACTGACTCTGGAAGAAGCCGAGATGAAGAAGAAGTCGAGGAAGAAGAAGCTTCAGCTCTGCTCACCGCCGTCGAAGACGCCCAAGCACGGCCATCCGGCGCGTGAAGAGCAAGCCAGAGAGCGAATTTTCTAAAGAAACCGCGTGTGTGGCTCATGCAAGGATCCCTGAGGCTGAGTTCTCACTGAAGGCTCACTGAAGGCTCATGCTCCCATTGCGAGAGTATGAGTCTTTCCTGTCTCCGCTCGTGGATTGCCTTTTTTCACAAAGGCGGTCCCCCTCGCTCAGCTCTCCCGGTTCCTTTCTCTCCTAAGAGAAAGAAACAGCGGAGCAGCGGGTCCTTCTCAGCGGGTTCGAGCAGTGTCACGTCGGCTCAGCGCCCGCGTGCCCCGCCCTCCCCGTGTCCTCTCGTCTCACCGGTGTTTTTCACACAAAAAGACCAGCTGCGAGCGACTTGGTCTCTTTTGGCGCATCTGAAGAGGACGTCATCATAGAGGACGTTATCACTGACGACTCCATGTGCTTGGCAGCGTCTGATGCAGAAGAGTGGGGAGGTTTCGGCGGAGAGCCCGAAGTCCTTCCCCCTTCTCAAACTCTGAGGCCGAAACCGGACGCCGAACTCATCCGCGTCCTGTCGAAGGCGGTAGAGGATCTGGGCCTCGAGTGGTCAGCTCCGGAAGAGCCCGCCCACGGCCTGTTAGACGAGTGGTACCTGCTGGGAAGCCGTCAACAGTCCTCTCGCCAACGCCCCGCCCCGTTCTTGCCTGCAGTTCATGATGAGCTCACCAAGACGTGGTGCGCCCCCTACTCAGCCCGAGTAAATCCCTCTACAGCAGCGGCTCTCACCACCGTTGACGACACTGACGACAAGGGATACAGCAAGCTCCCCCCTCTGGAGGAAGCAGTTGCTGCTCATCTGTGCCCGCCATCTGCCATCGGCCCATGCAGCGCATCCCTCTAAACCCTGCAGGACCACCTCGGCGCTCGCCAATAGGGCTTATGTAGCGGCTGGCCAGGCTGGGTCAGCGCTGCATACAATGGCGGTTCTCCAAGTGTTTCAAGCCAAGCTTCTTCACAGTATGGAAGAGTCTGGCCAAGAACACCAAGAGGCTTTCAAAGAGCTGCGCACAGCAACAGACCTGGCTCTGCACGCCATGAAAGCAACGGCGCAGGCGACCGGCAAGACCATGGCCAGTTTGGTGGTGCTGGAGCGCCACCTCTGGTTAAACCTCACTGAGATCTGGGACGTTGAGAAGATGGCTTTCCTCGACTCACCGGTCTCGCCAAAGGGCCTGTTCGGCCCCGCTGTGGACGGGTTTGCAGAAAGTTTTTCGGAGGCTCAGAGGACGTCGCAGGTGCTCCGTCACTTCCTCCCCAAGCGCCCTGGCCCCGCGGCTGCGGGCCGTCAGAAGAATCCCGTCACTCAGCCTGCCTCAGCCTCAACGGAAATCTAAGCCTGGGCTGCAGCAGCGCCCCTGGATGGCGAAACGCTTCCCTTTTCCGAAGCATCAAGGTCCCCGCCCACGAGTTATGCTGGACCCCGAGCCACCTAAGCCGTCCTGATGCACTAGAGAGGAAGAGGAGGGGCTCTTTTCTCACCTCGGCTGAAACGCCCTGCAACACAGCTCGTTTTCATCCTCCATCCCAGTTTCGTTTCCAGCGGGTCACGTCCTGCAGGTGCAGCGCGTACCCGAATGTTTTACCGCTGCGATAGAGGACCCACAAACAATAAAGAGCAAATTTCCTCTTCACACTCACGCGAATGCAAGTTCCCCGCCTTCTCTCGGCGAGCTCTCATTTGCAAAAATAAACCCTCTCGCCTCCCGTTTCACGACTTGAGCAGCCATTCCGGGAGTGTCGAGTTGGGTTTTCAAAACAATTCAGTGAGCAATGAAAACAATGAAGCGTTACTCGCTTCAGTTTGCTTGCAGGCCACCTCGCTTCAGAGGCGTTATTCAAACTTCTGTTCCGGACAACGAAGCACTCTCCTGCTTCTGTTCTCCGACAAGAAGTGCAGACATTGCTTGCAAAAGGCGCTGTGGAAATAGTGCCCCCAGCGAACAGCGAGTCAGGCTTTTCAGCCGCTACTTCCTCGTTCCAAAGAGATATGGCGGGCTCAGACCCATTCTGGATCTCAGACGTCTGAACCATTCGCTTATGCACCGGTCGTTCAAGATGTTAAAGATGCATACTTTCACATCCACATAGCCCCCCATCACAGTCCGTTCTTGAGATTCGCGTTCGAGGGAGTGGCCTATCAATAACTGTCCTTCCGTTTGGACTGTCTCTAGCTCTTTCCCCTCTGAGACAGAATTTTGAACTACCTTGACGATTGGCTGGTTCTAGCCAGGTCAGAACGGGAGTTGGCTGCTCACAGAGAGCTGTTACTCAGCCACTTAGAGCGCCTTGGGTTGATCATCAACCCGCACAAGAGTCAGCTGTTGCCCAGACAGCAAGCTGTCTTTTTGGGAACAATTTTAGACTCCGGCCAAATGCGGGCATGGATTACGCCGGAACAATCCCTGACTATTCAGCGATTGGCGGCGTCACTCAAACCAGGGACAACACGCCCCCTGAAGGTTTTTCAGAGGTTGCTCTGCCTTATGGCGGCCGCCGCCTCTGTAATTCCTCTGGGCCTACTTCACATGTGGCCCCTTCAGTTTTGGCTCAAAGCCCGCATTCCACCTCACGCCTGGTGCCTGGGACGGCTTCCTGTCAGGGTAGACCACGCTAAATCAAGGCTGTGGCCCCCTGGATGACCTCTCGCCTGTTCCAAACAGAAACGAGATTAGGAATGGCCTCCAGAAGGAAGGTAGTCACAACGGACGCGTCCAACTCGGGTTGGAGCGCCCTGTTGGAGGGCAATGCGGCGTTCAGCTCCTGGTTACCCCCGGAGCAATGCCTGCATATCAACTGCCTAGAGATGTTGGCGGTTTTCTTAGCCCTGAAAACCTTCCTTCCCGCCTTAAAAGGGCACCACGTCTTGGTCCGGTCGGACAGGCCTGGTTCCCAGAGTTAGTGCAGCTCTCAGCAGCAGCCCCATGGCCCATTCCGCTGAGGGGGAACCTTCTCTCGCAGGCAAAAGGCATGATTTGGCATCCCCGGCCGGAGCTGTGGAACCTTCATGTATGGTGCCTCGACGAGAGCTTAATCAGCTCCCAGCAAGAGTAAGCAATACCATTTTGGAGGCAAGGGTGCTGTCTACAAGACGACTTTACAGCCTAAAATGGTCGGTTTTCCTTAACTGGTGTTCTGC